TATAGCTGAAAAGGCTCTTTTATTTGTTCTGATTGAGTTTGGGAGGAGGAAGAGGCACGGCTCATAATTAAAGCAGGATTTGCTAGATTGATGGTTAAATGGGGTGGATCGGAATTTAAGCAGACACTTGGGTTGTGGCACAAAAACATTACGATAGAGTATCTATCCCATAAAGACACAGGCTAAAATGTTGTCTCCCTTCATCCTTTGTCCCTTCGTAATTCCGTCCCTCCTCTACTCACCAGTATGTCTTTCACAACCTCTGAATGTCGTGGAGATACAGTATGTGTGCACAGTTGGGTCAAAAGAAGACCATAGCTTCAACTGAAATGCACTTATCTCCAAGTAGAGTCTACTGGCCTTGGCCATTGAGTGTTTCCACACATTGACATTTAGAGCCATGACAAAGACACAGGGCATATACTCATTTGCATTCTCAAATACTTTGATGTCTTCAGTACACCAAACTCCTGCTTATGAGTATATACACGATCGCTCTCAACATACAACATAAAAATACATCTTACTTTAAAAGCCCCTCAGAGATTTGATTAAAGGACACTGTGATGAAGAACTTTATCAAGAAAGTGCCTTTAAGCAACCTAAAAATCAGTGTGAGCACTGTGTGCTATACGGTACCCCAGTGCAACAGTTCCCTCAGGTTGCTGCTGTTTCAATCTGGTCTTCACTGGTATTCGCACCGCAAAGTGTGGAACCAATGATACAGTCCGCTCCTTTGCAAAACACCAGCTAAGGTTAAAGTCGTACAGTCAGTTTTCAGTCTGGGTAGACTAACAAGCCGTTTTAGGACAACTCAGTAAAATGTGCAGTGTTTTTTGGGTGGACTGTGAATCAAGTTTGTCACGTGTCAGGTTTCGTGGCCCACTCTGATCTGGTCAGCGCCTACTGTATCTAACGTTATATAGGCTTACACTCGCATATCGCTTTTAGTGTACTCTCTGCCAGATACTTGTCGTTGTGGTGGAAAAAGCTATAATCAATTTAATTTTCAACTGACTATAAATTATGTCTGTGTGCTGGTAAAATATGATAACAGGGTTGAGTTCCTCTGTCTACCACTGCCACAGCTTATAGATAGACGCAAACACCTTTCTCATTCATATGAGGTGTATGCCTGTGATCAAGCTCAGGATAAATTAATACTAATTTGTGTGAAGACTGAGAATATGAAAGTTGAGTGTCGTCATAATATATGATGTGATTTTGTCAGTATAGCCCTCACCTTGTTCACACATGTTCTTTGTACAGACACTGCTGTTCCTGAATATGTTGCTACCAATAACACCTTCAACAACTGAGAAACCTGCAGCATTGAAAACACTTTCTCTGTCTCCTCCCCTGCCTTGTTTGTGTAAAATGGACACATCTCTCTCTAAGAAACAATAGTGCATAAAACAGCCTGACACATGCCGATGAAAGGCTGCAGTCCTCCAGGAGCACAGCCAACACGTGACTGGAAGGAGGCAAACACCTGAAGTGTTAACAGAATTTTAACAATGCTGGTAATGACTTTGAGATTTTAGAGTGGCAGGCCAAATGTCTTCCTGAATCTCAGTGAGTCAATAATTGCTTTCTTTAACAGCCTATAACAGTTAATAGATTCTCTGTTGGTTAACTGAAACAATGATAATATCTAAATATTCTCTCTTTAGCATGCCTGGAAAGATGTCAGCCTTTGGCTCACTGCAATTGCTACAACAGTAGTTTTATGCTACTGGCGTTGAAAATTTTGCCTTTTTATGTGAGTAGTACTCACCCAGTAGAAAGATACTTTACATTCAAAAGTAATTGAGTTTGTCTTGAAATGCAAACTAATTGGTTAAGTAAATATACAGTACAAGGGAGACAATGATGCACTCAGTCACAAAGCCCTAAAGTGTGTTTCCACCTGTTCCACGCTGTTGTTGGTTTGTGAATCACAGGCTATTCTATATCCACAAAAGCATCTGGAAGTTTTATTAGTGCTCCTGTCAGACTCAAAAAGCCCTAGAAGAGGCCCCTAGAGGCCATTCTGCTTCTACTGCACTGATTGGACCAAAGTGATTTGAAATGATTGACTAACTCACAGTGCCATCCTCAGAGCCCTCTGAGAGTTTCACAAGTGGGCTAAAAGCCTTCAAATATAATAGGAAGGGGGATTTACTCTTATAGGTGATTATATCACTGTTAGATGTTACTGTGTGACCAAACATATAAATGTCCAAAGGGTTACAGTTACTGATTAAGCAGGTCACAGCTGATTATATAAGCAACATGCAATATCGCATTTTAAGTATATTTACTCAAAGACTTACATCAGATTTTTTCATGCTGCTATGTGTCATGTGTACACATGCAGCTATACAAAGTGACAATAAAAAAAGGCGCTGCGCACACTAAAATTTGAGTATTAGCGCTTCCATTTTATTTCTGTTTTCTTGAATGTTTTTTTCATGAAGTCACTGTCCTCCGCCAGTGAACTGAGGTAGCGAAAGGCGACAGTCAGTGTCTTACACGTGACGACTTCAATCCTATTAGATTGATGTCCACTTTTGAGCCATTCCACAGAAAGGCTCAAGCTCACAGTGACTTGTGGTGCATGTAAGGACACTGTACTCATGTGACTGTATGCTGAAATGAATGTGCAGCACACAGTCTTTGCTTGAAACCATGTATGACATTGAGGAACAAGGATCATTGTGTGCACATTATTATCTTTTATAAAATTCCACTGCACAACAAACAGAAGAAACAGGTGGAAAAGACACCAGAATGAGAGGTTAAACGACTAAGTGCCTATTCAGTTGCCTCAACTACACATTTGTGATGAAATTTGGTACACTATAAGTCACATTTTTCTCGCAGCTACCTTCCTACTGAGCTGATTGTGAGTGGCATCACCGAGTCTGTGAAAATGAAGCATATTTTGGTTCCCAAAAAGGAAGAGAAAATTCTAATTCAACCCTGCACAAAGCTTCTCAGAATCTACATTGCCAGACTAATTTCCATATAGTTGCAATATTTATTCTGCAGAAGAGGCTACAGTAAATTGACACAACAAGACATCAAATGGCATGCATATACAGTGAAGGCTCTACTGTCCGGGTGACAATTTTAGCCTTTAGTGGACATGCATTTACTGTTTTGGCAAATTATTGTCACAGTGTAGGTGACACAGCTTACTAGACTATAATTGTAGATAAGCAGTGATGTAGCATAAGTTCCAGTTGGTAGTCAAAAGAAGAAAAACCATGCACATATTGTATTAAGTACTACAAGGCAGTGTTCACCTCATTGTAATACTTGTACAATAATGTACGGTATATTGTTATGCTCCAAAGCTGTGTGTTATCTTCTCTTCTTTTTAAAGAGATGGGCATTAGAGAGGGGCAATACCATATATTTCCTTTTTTAAGTCTTTCTTTTTCTCCAGACTTGACTTTATTTCCATGTATTCACTTTTGCAACAAATGTTCAACCTCTTCCCAGTCAATGAATTATGTTTCATATTATGTCCAACGGATACAATAGCTTCCATTTTTCCAATCTTGTAGCAAAGCCATGCTGGTCCCATTGTTTACTCCAAATTATTGTTGTTGAAAAGAAAATTATACTATATAATATAAAATAATAATGCTTGCGTATAGTAATGCTGATTGGACTTTTATTTCCTTAAACCATTTAAGGTAGCCTACAATACAGTACTGGTGGCATTGATCATACTAATAGATAGATAGATAGATAGATAGATAGATAGATAGATAGATAGATAGATAGATAGATAGATAGATAGATAGATAGATAGATAGATAGATAGATAGATAGATAGACTTTATTAATCCCCGAAGGGAAATTGGGTCGTCATAGCAGCCAGGTACATTTAAATACAATTAAATACAACAATAGAATAAAATACTGAGGTAGAAAAGATAAAAAAGATAAACAGATAAATAAGGTGTAAGATGTTGTAGTTGCAAGATGGTGGTAATAGTACTGATGATATGAAGGGTAGTGTTATTGTTAATAACAGTATATAATGATAATATTAATAATAATAATAATAATAATATATATATATATATATATATATATATATATATACATACATACATATTTTGACATTTAATGTTAATTTGTTTCTTTTTTTTATTGGCACAATCAATTGCTTTTTAACTGACTACATGTGTAACCTCCATTTTTTGTGATGCTATTGTCAGGACACTGAGTCTGTTCCCTGACAATAGCAATTAACATAATGACACATGATCGGCACAAAATGGTGCTGAAACTTTATTTCGTGAATAGGAAGGTGGATAAACCGAGTTGAGTTTACTCTGCATTATTACATTCTTCTAAGAGTAGCAAGATTTTCCTCGGTGCTAGCACAGTGGGCGGGAAGAGAACGGAGATGAAATAATTACAACAATTACTTCTTTTACTTTATCTGCCTGAAACACACAGCACACTTGCATATGCACACACAGACAGAATATAATAGCTGTGGTAAGTGAAGTACTGTCAGCACTAATGACAGTGTTGCCAGTAAAATAAGTGTAATAAAAGCAGGAAAGATGGCATAATATATGCCTGTGAAGACACTAACTAATGCTTTCACCCGAGTGTTAAACTGTATGGCAAAAGCCTCACACACACACACACACACACACACACACACACACACACACACACACACACACACACACACACACACACAGACACTGCACATACACACGTAACATACATGACACACACATGCAAATATACATACGAGCAAGAACATTCAGGCGAGAGGTTGTGTTGTTGCACACACATAAGATTATAGCAATACTGTTCTGTGCTTTGTCTGTAACACTTCAGGGAAATAAAGATCTGCCATGCTGGGTGTATCCTTAGGAAAGCACACAGCATTAAAAGTTAAAAACTCTGAGACACTCAGAATCTCAGTTCAATACACAATGGGAAAGAAATTAAAATCATTATTATAAAAAAGACTTTCCTACCTGTTTTCTCTCTTCTTTGCCTCCTCTGACTACTCGGTTATTTGTATCGAGACACAAATGTGCTCCTTTCTCTTGTCTGGCCACTCTGCTGTGTATCCTTTATGAAGATTTTCTGGGGTGGGATGTTGTTTCCAAGTTTGGTAGGTGATTGAGGTTGCCAGGGTTACAGGAGACACAACTGGGCCTGAATGTGAAAAAAAGGAAAATGCAAATGAAAAGATGAGTTAAATGAAAAAAAAAAACTACATCACTGGGTATTTTGCAATCAAAAAAAGACCACTTAATTCAAAACATTTATTATTTTTGTTTCTAATTTCATGTACAATGACATGCTAATTTAAACGATTATTTACAGTCACTTACTTTATTTAACTGACAAGCAATTTGTTCATTACATTAATTCATGTAACCAGTAAATCTGAGTATTACTAATTGTAATTCAAGTTTCATATAAGTGGCAATCATGCTAATAATAACATTCAAAATGTAGCTTAAATTTCTACAGATAAGAACAGTATGTTTAGTGTTTAGACAAATAGAAAAAATGATAGTAAATAAAACATCACTCAACATGAAAAGATTTCAAAAGAAAATGGAAATCAGGGGGACTGGCAATGTGGGTGAATACACAAGAGTTGAGACTACAGTCAGATGGAAAGAAAAGGGTGAGAGAGGAAGAGCAAAGAGAAAGGGAGCGAGAGAAGGTTTTCAGAAGCATACAGATTTTTCTCTGCATCAAGACCATGAAGAAATGCGCAATGGACCCATGACAAGCATAAGAAACAATACTGCTGAGAGCATGGAAAAGGGATGAATCTATCTATCTATCTATCTATCTATCTATCTATCTATCTATCTATCTATCTATCTATCTATCTATCTATTTATCTAACTTTTTTCTCTTACTTCATTTCAGCTGCTGTGGTTCACCTAAATTAACATTACCTGGGCAGATAAGCAGTATAACAATAATGGCTGATGATGCATCAGAGGGGTACAAGGTGACAGATGGCTCGATCTGTAAGTGGCACTATATATAATGAGATGCTACCTATCTCCCTGTTTCAGTCACATAGCAGGACACCTGTCACAGCACACCTCAAGCCGTCAGTACACAAAGCTCTGCCTATCTATGAATAATTTGTGCAAATAACTGTCAGAGAAACTGACATCCCCCCCCCCCCCCTCTTTCTCTTTCTCTCCTTTGTCTCTTTCTCCCTCCCTCTCTCTCTCTCTCTCTTCATTCCCTGACAGACACACACACACACACACACAAGACACAGACATACCCACACAGACTCTAGAGTCTAAATCAGTTAGGGAGAGCCCGGCCCGCTGCCCCTAAAGTGAGCTGAGCGTGACATCTCATTTTCAGCAGTAATACTGGGTTGGTCCTGCTCCTCCCTTACAAGTTAAATGGAGAAAGAGCGCTGTAGTACACTTGATCATGACTGGGCACAGTAAGTAGGCATATGCATGTGAGAAAACAAGAGCAAAGGCCTGCTGACAACACGCACAGGCCGAGGAAAACACACATCCTATGAGCTCTCACTCAGAGAAATATACTTGTAAGTGACATGAGTGTATGCACCCTGCAGGCCTAAAACAAACACACATACGCATATATTGTAAAAGCACAAACACACAGGGTTTCAAGTTGACTAGAAAAACAACCTAGAAGAGCCTCCCCAGTGCTCTCTCATGCAAAGGCTGAAACTAAAAAATCTCAAGACAAAAACTGTTGCAGTGTTGTTTCTTTTCTCAGTTAAAGAAGCATCACAACACTCAAAGCACTGGTTAAAAAATGGGAGCACAAATGAGGGCTACTTGTTTATGGTGTTCTCAGTATTTGTTTATTTGTAGACTTCATCATATGAATATAAAAATATCATAAAATAGTGAATACATTTCATCTGATCACATTCCTCAAAAATGCTGTTTTATTCTCATGAATGTTGATTTAGTATTTATGTTAGGATATATATAAATATATTTATATTTATTTACAAATAGGACTATCCAGTGTTTCCACAACAGGCAAATTCTGGCTTAAAGGACCATACTAGGGCTGTCAGTTGAGCCTCGAAGAAACATTGTCCAAATGTACTGTACATTCATGCTTGAACCATTTACATTTTGGTAACTCCAAGAGTTTTCCCCTGGGGATGCCCTCGGGTCAAATTGTCAACTTTCTACCCAAGATGTCAAGAAGTAATGGCTAGATTTCCATTAGATTTGCTGGGGATATTTATGCTCCCTTGAGGATGAATTCCAATATGTTGGGTGAACCCTCTCACATTTCATGTTGAGGCAGCAGTTTCCAGCTAAATGGTAAATGGACCTGTACTTGTATAGCGCGTTTCTAGTCTTCCGACCACTCAAAGCACTTTTACACTACGTGCCACATTCACCTTTTCACACACATTCACTCAGCGATGGCAAAGTCCATCGAACAGAAACTAATCATTCATACACATTCACACACCGATGCATAGCATCGGGAGCAATTCGGGGTTCAGTATCTTGCTCAAGGATACTTAAGACATGTGGCGGGAGGAGCCAGGGATCGAACCAACAACCTTCCTCTGAGCCACAGCCACCCTGTGCTTTGCACCACAAGTCTGCCAAAATTTGCTGAGCAAATGTATGCACTCCAGAGAATAAAAAAAAACTGTACTCTTTGGACACTCTGTGTTTTCTTCTTTCACAGCTCTCTTATGTCCACAATTAGATTTTTGATCACATGGCTTCCCTGTAGTGACACCATCAGCCCAGACTTTCATTTCTAACCCCACTGATACCGCTCTAAGGACAGCATGTTGTTACTGTATGTTGATCATTCTGTTGAAATAGTCACACTGGGGGACTGCAGTTGAGGCTTTACATTTTCATCTTTTTTTTCAGTTATTTATGATGTATTGATGTGCCTAGGGGCAGCTGTTCAGGAGGTACAGCAGATCATCCACAGAAGGTGCGTGGTTCAATCCCCGGGTCCTCCCGCTGGATGTCATCGTCCTTAAGTGAGTTACTGAATGTGACATGTAGTGGAAAGTGTTTTGACTGGTCAGAAGACTAGAAAGTAGAGCTGCAACATAATAGTAGACTTCATCGTTAGTTGATGGGAAGAGTCTTAGTCAAAACACTTTTCATTAGTCGGATAGTCGGAGAAAAACAACGTCAAACTCTGTTACAGTTCAAACTGATAACGTAATACATCATCCATCGATAATTCCACCAGTGTTTGATTTTGTGAGGTTAGAAGTTATTTATTCTGTGTTTTGTACAATGAGATTTCTGTGACGTTATACTATAAATAAATGAACTAAATCTTCAGTCTTCTCGCTGGTTGCTATGACACATTTAACAAGAGGGTGTGATGTTAAAATATATATGTATATAAATTATTAAATCAATATCATAAACGTGCGGTGACTAGTCTACTATTGGCTTTATCTATCCACTAATAGTAAGTGCAGTATACCAGCGCTTTTGCTACTATCATGTTAAAAGGCTGTAATATCTTGGTATAGTCCCTGTCAGCAGTTTTTTTTCCCTTCTCCTTCCCTGTGTGTGTGTGTGTGTGTCTATGTGTCGTGGGCACGGCTTACCTCTCCTTGCACCTCACTCTCTGTCTGAAATCATCTCATCAACTCGCAGTTCAAGAACTCCAGCTCTTCTTCACCAGATTGTTCTGTAAACTCAGTGGTGGTGTGACTCTCAGCTACTCAGTATGAGTTCTTATTAGTTATTTTTAGTGATTTTTTTTCTTCTCGTGCTTGAGCTAACTTGGAATTTTCCCGTGTCCCATGATTCCATACTATATAACAGTTCCTTTTAGCTTTCTTTTGTTGTTTTTGTTGTTCTTTGGTCAATTCTTTTCTTTTTCCCTCTGCTGATCCTTTCCCAGTATTGATCATAGCCACAAAACATAGCAGCAAAAATAAAATGATCAAAAAGTCCTGCTTCCATTTAACTTCCTTTTAGTGTACTACTGCAAAACATTTTTGGGAAAATGTAAACACAGGCTTCTCCAATCTGCGTACCGTAAATCGTTTCATCTGATTTTCTGGTGGAACCATACCCGCTAATAGGTATTAACAATAACTATATAGAAATAGCCAGTCTTCTTGCTGATGGTCTCCTTTGCTTATGTACATCATATAGAGGCATCAGTAATACATTGAGACTGTTTTATAAGCAGTTAAAAACTCCTTGTAGTAGCTTTAAGAGCCCTAACTAATCCATCATGTACTTGTATTTCATCTTTCATGCAACACAGAGGAAGGATATCACATGTTGCTCTCTCACCAGGCAATGAAGCAGTGCTTTTCTATCTAGTCTCAATGGCATCCTCAATAATGGATGGACATCATGTCTAACTACTGTCTCAGCTTCTAGTCTGTATTTATAATAGTGAAATTCTGTAGACACAAGAAACATTAATATTGAAACTAGCTCAAACATGTTACCATCACTTACACAACTTTTTTTAGACACTGGCTTCAGCAACATGGCCCCCAAAGGGACTTAGAGCTTTTTGGTAATTATGTCTTAAGTTTTCAGCAGTGATAATTGTGTTAATATTAATTTTGCTTATTTATCTCTCTATTACAGATATACACTTTCTCTCTCATAAGCACATCAACGAGAAGCAGCTGCTGACACAATGAGAGGGTTGGAAGTGAATCAGTTATTATTCCTTTGTTCAGCTGTATATATATATATATATATATCCACACACACACACACACACACACACACACACACACACACACACACACACACACACACACACACACACACACAAGAATGCACATTCACACAAGAAAAGCCTTACTCATAGGTGCAGTCAGCATTTTTATAGCCTCCACACTTTCTCATGGGTCCATGGGTGGATTACACAAATGAGTTACCCATTTCATCAAAGTGAACAGGGAAAAATAACCATAAGGAGAGGAGTGGAGAGGACTGGAGAGATGGAGGACTGAGGGACGAAGAAGAAGAAGAAGAAAAAGAAGAAAAAGACAAAGAGATAATGAAAGTGAGAACAAGAAAGCAAAGGGAGAGAAAGGTGGGAAAGAGGGAAGGAGTCATCACAGGTAGTTTGAAAGTGGTAAGAATACAGACAGGGTTTTGGCACACTGGAATAGAGTCTATTTACACCTTGCTAGTCTGACAGCCTGT